AGCGCCGAGGCTGCGGGTTCGGATCCTATATAGGGATGGCCAGTGCGCTCCCTGGCAGAGCGCAGTGCGGACGACACCAAGCCAAAGGTTGTGATCCCCTTACCGGTCACACACACACACACACACACACACACAAAATTGACACTGGTAATGTGTAGCAGACAAAGGATTAAAAGTATGATAATGGCATCACCTCAGTGTAATGTTTCAATCTTGTTCCAAATATTTTATGTACACGAGCTCACTAGCTCTAAATCTTACCTATTCTTCTGCAAGGAACCACTTAAGGGCTATCTGCTCCTATATTCCTCATATCCAGTGAAAACCAGGGTTTTTTGATCAATCTCTTACATAGTCCTCAATCCTCTCCCACCCTCTCCCACCCTAGAAACCCCCCTGGCCATCCCTCTGCTGGGTTATTGCAACTGTCTTCTAAGGTGCACCCTCTGCCTCCAGACTCAGCTCCCCCACACTCAGAGACATCCTCCGCCCTGCAGCCAGCGGGGTCTCTAGATGCTGATGAGACCAAGCAGCTCCCTGATTAAGTCCCTTCCATGGGGTTCCACCATCAACACCGTGAAGCACCTGTGCAGGGCCCATCAGCCCTCCACCAGCCCACCCGTGCTCACCTGCCCAGCCTCTCTCCTGCCAGGCCTGGCCTGGTCCTCTCATGCCTGCAAGACCCTGCTGCACAGGCAGTTGGCTAATGCTCACCCTGGGCCTGGGCTGATGACATTCCCTCATCCACGGGCCCTTCCTGCCCTTCCGTCCAGGCTGCCAGGTTCAGGTCTTCAATGCTCAGCTCACACCCCATCTCCACGGCACTCCCCTAGATCTGGTGGCTGCCATGGCCACCATGGCTGACTTGGTCACAACCGCTGTAAGGGATGGCAACTACCATTCTGTCTCTTGTTTCTCTCTCAGCTGTCAGAGTCCTTAGGTCAGGGACAAACCTTGCTGTTGTCCTAGGTCAATCCACTATGCATGCATGCAGGTGCCCACTAGTACCTGCTGAATGGACTCAGATGCTCTCAGTCCACCACACGCCTCCCTGAAGCTAATGTCATAGTGGTGTGCACGTGGGCGCTAGAGCCAGATTATCCCAGTTCCATTCTGTCTCAGACACTTTCTGGCTGTGGGACCTCCTCCAGGACAGGGTAAGCTTAATTAATGTCTTAGGCCTGGAGCCCTTCCCTCTACCCAGGACACAGAAAGCTGGTTCCCAGTGAATGACACCTAAATTCAGGAGGAGGGTCACAAAGCAGGAGAGAGAGGGATCTCAAAGTTGGGGGCTCTAAATCTGATTAAATGAACCATCTGGAAAAGGCTCCCCCAGAACGAGAGGAGCAGGAGGACTGAGGGAGGGGCCCATCCCAGTCCAATACCTGAGGGAGTCCGAGAAGGCCTCTACGCCATACTTGGAGATGCAGTAGCCCCCACCAAAAAGCGACACCCGGCCCATGACGCTGGAGACATTGACCACGCGGCCCCTGGCCTTCCTCACTAAGGGCAGCAGGCTCAGAGTCACCTCGATCACCCCCAACAGGTTCACATTGAGTATGTCCACAAAGTCCTGCTTGGTCAGCCACTCATTGGGTGTCGATGCCTGGGCGATGCCGGCGTTGTTCACCAGGCCCCAGAGTCCTGGGGACAGTGGGGAGAGGAGAGAGCAACACTGTTGCATCTGTGCACTGTGGACACAGTTATGGTTCAAATTCATGTTCCAATAGAGTGACAGCATCTTGACAGGTGTTGGCTGGAAGAACAAGTAGAACCAGTGACAACATGGCATCTGCTGGGTTGTAGAGAGCAGATCCTGTAACCTGTTGCCGGACAGGGACCATGCCTTCCTTCTTCTTTATTCTTCATGGCCCTGCCCACTGCTTGGTAGAGAACAAAAAGTCACCCCATATGTGACGATGGCAGGAATTTATAATGAAGAAATATTGTGCACCCTTTATTCGGGAAACAAGGAGACTAATGTTTGGTTCTTACAAGTTAATGCTGTCCTTCCAGACATTAGATACATTGACCTATGTTTTTAAAATTTTGGACAGCTTATATAGTGAGTTCTCACCAACTATATGCTAAGGGAAAAAGAGAGACAGGAGAAATAAAGAAGCAGAGAAGAGAGAGGAAGAAAAAGAGGCAAAAATTTAAAAAATCCACACAAAGCTGACTTCTGGGTAGAGTTTGATTGGAAAGACAGGTCTGAAATCCTAGTTTGGGGAGAACTTGGACAGCATTTGATCGAATAAGAATGGCCTTAAAACATCATGCATCAATACTGAGCAATATTTCTGCCTCAAGCACCAGGGAATTCCAGTGGGCAGGTTTTGGGAAGAAGCAAGGCTTCCTCACCCCATGTCCTAGTACACCTACCATCTGCCCCTGGAAAATTCTCTTCCCACCAACCCAGAAGGCCACTCTCACCTCATCTCCACTTGTCCCCAGTTCACTGGGCTTTCAGGTAACCTCTCTGGAAGACCTAAAGACACAATTCTAGGAATTAAAGTAAATAGAGTTTCCAAAGTATAGACTTCAGGGCAGCAGGAGCAGAGAATCCACTGAGTCAGGGCAAGGGGTGGCAGTCGTTGATCTGAAAGAATTGCACCAGGGAGACGACTCCCTCCCATGTCGAGAAGCATGTCCTGCCCTCATGGGAAGGCACATTCTTTCACCAAGATATTTTACTTCTAATAATCCAATCGATATGTATGTTTAGAGAAATTCAGGTAAATAGAAGTTTTCCAAGACATCATTTACAACAATAAGATGTAAAAAATAATTTCAGTATCCAACCATTAGGTATGTTTAAATAAGTAGCACTGTTTCAAAGGACAGAATATTCTGAATCATTAAATATTATCTTTTTGAATAAATTTTCATTATATTGTAAAACTGCTCATCTTTTTTTAAGTGAAAAAGACACGATACAAGTGATGCACAAAATATAATCCCATTTACATCAAAATGTTCACAGTAAAGTCATGCATCCTATAAAGAAGTTTCTGTCGTCGACAAACCACATAACCTCAGTGATCCCAAAAGATCGTAATGGTTATACCATATGGCACAGGTGCATAGTAGGCTATACCACCTAGGTTTGTGTGAGCACATTTTATGATGTTCGCACTAGGACTAAATTGCCTAACATTTCTTAGAATATATCTCCTTAGGTGATGCATGAATGTGATTATCTCTGGGTGGCAGGATTAAAATGATTTTGATCTTATCTTTATGCATTTCAGTATTTTCCACAATGATCATGTTCTTCATTTCAGTTTAGATAAAAGAAGTCCATGCTCTTTTCTTCTCAATCATAACACACACGAAATAGTGCAATTAAAAAAAGAGAGAGGGCCGGCCCGGTGGCGCACTGGATAAGTGCGCCGCTTGGGAAGTGCGGCGGCGCTCTCGCCCGAGGGTTCGGATCCCACATACAGACTGGTTCCCGCTCACTGACTGAGCGAGGCGTGGGAGCAACACCGAGGGTTGCGATACCGTTGCCGGTCCCCGGTCCGGTACGGGGGCAACACTGAGGGTTGCGATCCGTTGCCGGACACGGAAAAAGACAAAAGACAAAAAAAAAAAAAAAAAAAAGAGAGAGAAAACATGACTCCTTCCTTCTCTTTCCTTCCTAAAACAGTTCTTAACCTCACGTCCTGCTCTGAAAATGAGGATGAACTTAACTGTCCCATGAATAGTGATAGGTCCCTGGTAAGAAGGAGTGAACATGCTGAGAACATGAGCCCAGCTCCTGGAGGGACACCAGCCACCCAGGCAAACACACAGCCCGGGGCCCAGTCCGTACCCATCTCCAGAAGGCTGGTCCCATCTCTAACCCAACACTCAGCGTCAATCAAACCAGAACTTCTGCTCAGAAAGGAGGGAGAGGACAGGAAGGAACTCTGCAGGGCAAACACTCATCAGGGCAACCTCTCACCAGGACTAGAGAGCTCCGGGGACAAGAGGTGGAGGGATTGAAAAGATAAGGGGCTCAGGCTAGCATGAGGGCTGAGAGGTACAGATAATACTATTGCATCAAGCCCCCCAAAACACTCTAGGAATCTTCCCAGGGAGCAGACAGGAGGTGTCCCCTTCACAGGGAGTAAAGAAACAAACAGACATGAGGAGTCCTGGTGGTACCTCTGTCCCCCACACGCTCCTTCACCCACTGGGCGGCAGCAGTGATGCTCTCGGTCTTGGTGACATCCAGAGTCACTGTCTGCAGCCTGTCTGATGTCTGGGCCCTGAGCTCCTTGGCCCCCTTCTCCGTCAGACATGCAGCCAGCACCTTCAAGCCTCGCATGTCCAGCTGTCTGGCCAGCAGGTTCCCGAAGCCCGAGTCACAGCCCGTGATGAAGACGAACTTGTCTGGGAGGTGGCTCACCACCTGTCTCTCACGGTACCAGCACAGAAGGTAGCACAGGCCCACCAGGGCTGCCAGGTACAGCCACATGGCTTTGCAGAGGACAGACACAGCAGGCTGGGGTGAAACAAGAGTCTGGCCCCTGTTCAGACAGGAGGACTTAAGAGCACAGAGGGCTGTGGGAGGCGGGCCAGCCTCCAGGCACCCTGGCATGCAGTCCTCAAGTGTCTTCTTGTTCTCTACTCACAGCATTTCTAGTAGATGCCATTAGATTGCCAAACAACACCTTGACATGAGGACACTTTTGTCACCCACCTTCTCCTGCTACACCATCTCCTCACTGATCCCCTCCACTGCAATCTACCCCCCCCCCACACACACACACTGGAGCCCTCCCTACCTAAGTGTCATGGTTCAGAGCTGTCTTACTTACCTTTTTCCTACTGAAGTCCTGGACCCTGGTCTGTCGAGAAGCATGTCCTGCCCTCATGGGAAGGCACATTCTTTCACCAAGATATTTTACTTCTAATAATCCAATCGATATGTATGTTTAGAGAAATTCAGGTAAATAGAAGTTTTCCAAGACATCATTTACAACAATAAGATGTAAAAAATAATTTCAGTATCCAACCATTAGGTATGTTTAAATAAGTAGCACTGTTTCAAAGGACAGAATATTCTGAATCATTAAATATTATCTTTTTGAATAAATTTTCATTATATTGTAAAACTGCTCATCTTTTTTTAAGTGAAAAAGACACGATACAAGTGATGCACAAAATATAATCCCATTTACATCAAAATGTTCACAGTAAAGTCATGCATCCTATAAAGAAGTTTCTGTCGTCGACAAACCACATAACCTCAGTGATCCCAAAAGATCGTAATGGTTATACCATATGGCACAGGTGCATAGTAGGCTATAGGATCTCAAAGTTGGGGGCTCTAAATCTGATTAAATGAACCATCTGGAAAAGGCTCCCCCAGAACGAGAGGAGCAGGAGGACTGAGGGAGGGGCCCATCCCAGTCCAATACCTGAGGGAGTCCGAGAAGGCCTTTACGCCATACTTGGAGATGCAGTAGCCCCCACCAAAAAGCGACACCCGGCCCATGACGCTGGAGAGACAGCATTTCCTAACAGAGGTGAAGGAAGATGGGCAGGGGCTGGGGAGGGAGGGAGGGACAGAAGAAGCCTGGGCTTCACTGCTCTGGGTGGCCCCCACTGTCCACACTTCCCAAAGGTCTGTCCCTTAACGAAGGGGAGGCAAGGAAATTGAATGGGAAGGGAAGGAGAGATTTCCCTAAGAAACCAGAGGGTCGAATGCAATCCTGACCCACCCGAGAAGACAGGAAGAACGGACAGGTGCGCACCTTCCAGCTCTGCCTAAAGGAGTAGATGTTATCAGCACGCAGCTGATGCAGTCCTGGAACCATTTGTCTCTCAAAATGGAGCCTCTCTCTGCTTCTGGGGTGGCTGCCAGGACCCACTTTATGGGCAGTGATGGGCGAGGAAGAAGGCTGAGGAGGAAGAAAGGAGTGCAAGAAATTCTCAGCAGCAGAGGGAACATGCAAATCCTAGTCCTGGCACCAAACCTGGTTAAGAGAGGGAAACTCCCTTGCCTGGAGCTGCAGGGCAGAAGGACAAGGCCTTCAGAGGCGACTCCCCTGTGAAGACTCACTCTCTCCCCCAGTTCCTCCACTGTGACTGCTGCACAGGATAACCAGACGTGCTGACCCCATGTGCGTCCTGGGGAGGGAGACATTGGCCAGGCTGGAAGGCAGTGCATCTCAGCTCCTGCACTCTCCGGCATACATGTGTCCCCTGGTGGTGCTTTGCAGAGTCTCAGCAGGCCCAGTCCAGCTTAGCCCCGTGGTGACCACTCTCTCCATCTCAGGTTGATGCCACCTATAGCCCCTTCTCTAGCCAGCTTGGGTCTTGCGAAGATGAGGAGGTGTAGGAAATGAAAAGCAGAGCTGGAAATGGCAGGAACTGGGGGTTCATTGTGCAAAGTGGTTTCCAGTCCCACAGACAGGCAGCCCCTACTAAACCTGGGGTGGGGACCCAGAAATGACGAGACACCCGTGCCCTGCAGGTGCTCAAGATCTGCGATTGGAGGGGATGAGAGGTGTAGGTGGGACTCAAGGATGCTGTGCTCCTCTAAAATGGCCAGGACAGCTAAGGGAAGGAGTCAGAGCAGCTTCTTGTGGCACCACAGGGACTGTGGTGGGATTGGGCTCCAGAGTATCCGACTGGACCTGACTCCCTTGCTGGGAAAACACGCCTGGAAGGAGGAGGAAGGGGGCTCTGCCATGGATCTCGTATGAGAACATGAAGTGGCTGACATTGGACGTCTTTATGTGTCTGTTGTTGCTGCTTCTTGGCAACATACGCTTGTTGCCTCACAGTCCATGCTTGGGGACATAGGTCCAGCCTTGGTGAAGCTCTACCCTCTAGTGGACCCAGCATGGCGGCCAGGGGTTTGTGCACTCACAGCTCTCTGACATGCTGGAGAGGACTCTTTGAGGGAGTCCAAACCTCCTGGACACCTAGGTACCCCAGAAGGTTAGAAGGTGAATGGGTAATATGTTATTTCATTTTAGTTTGTGTTATTTCATTTTAGTTTGGTTGGTGTGTGTGTGTTTGTGTAAATTGTGTGTGTGTGTGAGCAGTAGGCTGTGTGCATGTAGAGAGTACAATAAAACTCAGGAGGCTTTGGATTAAGTAGAGTTCCGATTTTGCTTTTGATGGCACAGCATGGAGTGACCCTTAGTAGGCTGACACTAGAGCATTAAAGGACTCACACCTCCTTGTGGACCAGTCTTGATTATCTTTGTATCTGCAACATTCACTTGCCTGACCCAAACACTCATTATGTGTTTTAAAATGAATGGCCCTGCAACTTCTGACTTCACTTTGTGTTTTCACCAGGAACACTGATAATAGTTCAACATCACAGGGTTCCCTAAAGCTCCATAGTCTTGATTTTTATGCTGACAGAAGAAAACTAAGATACCTGGGGTGCTACCTCCAAACTGTAATTAGCCCAGAAATCTGTATCATTTTCGGCTAATGCTTTCTCTATTGAGTCCACACTTAAAACATCAGAATACTGACAACGTATAAGTCAGGTCTCAGGAAACGCTGGGAAATTCCAGGGAATTCTTGTCTGGCATTCCATAGGTGCTCAACACCAGTTGGCAGAAAACGAAAGCCTGGGGTCCACAAGGGACTCTCACTCCATGGCACTGGAGGGGTGTCACGGGGAGGGGATCTGGCCCTGGAGTCCCAAGGGATGGCAGGGCTTCCAAGTGCAATGACGAAAGGAGGGGACGGTGGCTGAAGGCCACAGGGAGGTTGCTGGTGAGGGGAGAAAGACTCCACGTCCACCAGGGAGGGCATGTGGGACTCTATCTCTCCCTCATCAACCTCTGTTTGTCCATCCTTGTATCTGAGCCTGTGACCCCAGGCTCCCTGATAAATCCTGGAGAGGAAACACTTGCTCCTCGCCTCTGGGGCAGGAAGGGCTGAGTGACGACAGGGAAAATCCAGCTTCCCTCTTTCAATCCCTCCTCAGGTCATCCCTCTCATTCCCTGTCCTCCATGAAAGCACCTGACCCTTCCTCCCACAGGTCCACATGCCACCACTCCCCAAGCTCTCAGTTCAAATCAGTGGGCACAGATGAATGTCTCAATTTTTACTTTAAGGAAAATAGTCAAAGGAAATCTATAGTCCAGACAAATCCAAAATTGGTTTCTGTCCCTACTGAGGACACCACCTCCCAGCCAATGCCTGCTGAGCTGGTGCCTGAGGCCTGAGGGGTCAGACTGGTGGTCTCCTTCCCCACCTCAACCCATGGGCACAGGTACCTTTGGAGGAGGGTGCCCTCACCTCCTCCAGGCCATTTCCATCCTGTGGGAAGGTGTGGACTGGCCAGCACAAGCACAATATGAGGAGGATGGCAGCAGACAGAACAGGTGTGGACTGAGCATCCTTTCACCTGCTCACACCCGTCCTTTCACCTGCTCACACCCTCCCCAGGTGTGTGGATTCCTGGGTGATTCATAAGGGCCAGAGTCTGAGTTGCTGCCCAAGTCGACTGGGCACCAAATGAGTACTGTTGAGTTCCTGTTCCTCAGCAGAATTCCTTGGCTTTTTCCTTCTAATATTCCCAGAATTCTGAGCAATATCCTAGGAAACTCCAGGGGAGAGATGAGCAGGCAGTGAGCTAGATGTTCCCAGAGACTTGAGAGCTCCCTCCCTCCTTCTAATATCCCTCCTTGTGACCAAACTCAGTTCACACATCACCCCAACTTTACCCCACCATCCACTCCAGTCTTGGCCTTGCCAGGACTTCAGGAGCCATAGTCAACCGAGGTATCCACCAGGAAGGTGGGCATGGAGCTCATGGGAAGGTAGAGAAGCTTGTCCCAGCCAGATGAGTAGCAGCTGTGGGGGTGGCAGGTGGTCAGCACATGCTCCACGCAGTCCATCACCAAGGACAGATTTGGCGTGTACCTGTCCACCGTTCATTAGTCAGCTTCATGTCTGTCAGAGACAGAAACAGACCCAGATTTATTTCTAACACATCTTTCCTTGCCTGAGCAGTAAATTAAGAATGTTTTTAACTATTTTCCAGGTCCCCAATGACATAGCCCCACCTATTCATTTCTGCTTGTCCAGGCGGATTCCCAAAAACCCTACACCTCTGCACATCTTCCCATTAATAATTGTGACCCACAATGCACGCTGAGCCAGACCAATCACAGGACAATCTTTAGACTGCATAGCTTGAAGCAGCCTTTTGACCTTGAAAATCTAGGGAAGCTGCCTCTCGAAAACTAGCTGTGTGTCTAGATGTGAGGGGCTTCTCCTCTCTGGGTTTCTATTTTCTCCTCAACACAAGTAGAGATTCAGTCAGTCACTCTCTAGATTTAACCAGCCTAGACCTTTCTTTAGCCTCTTTGTTCTTTCATTACCTACAGAACACATAGGGCCATAACCATGAGTCTAATTCCCAAATCTGTAAGGCAAGAAAAGCCTGGAGGATGGACCCAGTGTGAAGAGCTAATTGCAGGCTTGGGCCCTCCCAGACTTGGTTTCCTTCTTTTCAGGAATAATACCCAGAAACCAGAGGCAGCAGCTAGGAAGCTAAAATGCTGAAGAAAAATTTCAACATTGTCCTGATATTGGGGAGGTAGAAGGAGGAATTCAGGGAACAAA